ACACACACACACACACACACACACACACACACACACACACACACACACACACACACACACACACACACACACACACACACACACACACACACACACACACACACACACACACACACACACACACCTTGCTGGGAATACTGAAGGGATCCCGGCTGCATAAGGAAACGTTGAGCCACAGTAGGACACTGGTTTGAGATTGTCAAAAGCTTAGGCCTGATAAAGGTGAGGTAATGGGAAATATTAACCCTCCTTTCATAGTGCAATTAAAAGATAACGTTATCATTTCAAGTCAAAAGAGGAAACATTGAAGAAAATTGATGAAAACAACCCCGGCCTCTCAGATTCAGATTTAAAGCGACTCTGCCAGCATTTCTTTGACATCAAAAAAACACAGGTTTGCTTTTTTCTTTTTAAATTAATCGTGTCTTCGGGGACATCTGCTTGATAAAATATACATCTTACAGATAATACTACTATTTGAACATAATTTGGAGTTTATACAAACATTCTTTTACAGATACACTGATTCTTCCAATGGCCTAAAGAGACAAAAAAGCAAAGAAAAAAGCATATAAAAGGCTAAACCTAAGAGTCATAAATAAATGTTGAATAAAACAGCTTATTGTCTTTAGTTTGTTTTTTCTGAAACAAACAGTTTTGGTATATCTGAGTAACTCTGCGGGTCTCTGCGTCCCGTTCCAAAACAAAGCCTACCCGTACATAAACTGATTCATAAAGTTGGTATGACAAATATACATATTACAGTGTTGTATAAAATATTCCATATGACAGTGTACTTAAATCACCTTAGATAAAGCTATTGCGTAGACAAAATACAAACGATACAAAAGAACTAAATCATCGACACCGCACCCTCGTGACTTTACAGATAATCACTAATGTACAGAGAGTTTGTAGAGAGACGATAGGGAAATGTTTACCCTGAGAATGAACCCTCCAGGAGGCGGGATTAAGATCTGATTCTCCTCAAAACAACAAATCAGATTTAAGACTTAAAAAAGAAAAGAAAAGAAAAAAGGTTTCAATTATTCTTTTGTCATATTGCAAAAGTCATTTTCCAGTCGTGTCTTTGCTTTTTATCCAGTGTGCGCGACATTTTAAGACTTTTCACAGTTTGGCTTTTTCCACTCGATCAGATGTCGCTGCCGATGGGCCGTCCACGCTTCCCGACATGCGAACATTCTGCCGCAGAACCAGCAGCGGAACGATGCCGCCGCCGCCGCGTCCCCGCTGGGGGAGCCCGCTTCGACCACTTCGTACTTCTTCCTGCTCAGCCTGCGCAGCCTCATTTTCAGCAGGAACCTCTCCTGCACAGAGCTGTTGGCGCTCCCCGCGGAACCCACCCGGGCGTCCGCCTCGCCGCTCGAGGCAGAGAGAGCGTCGGCGGTCCGCCGCGACAGCACCACCTTCTGCACCTCCCCTCTGTACCGGTTGATGACCTCCATGATCCTGGCGACCTCGGAGATGTCGGCGTCCGGGTGATTCAGCACCACGACGGGCTGGTCTCCCGCCGGACGCTTCACCCGCTGAGATGGAGTTATGGCGACTAACTTCAGGGTCCTCTCCAGGTGCTTGGGGAGCGGCTGCCACCGATGGTGCGAGGGCCCCTGGTGGATGTCGCCGAGGAGATCTGGGTAGGAGTCGGCAGGCTCTTCTCCGGCTCTGGCCCCCTCGACACTCCGTTCACCGTGCTCTGCAGGGAGAACGAGGATTACGTCTTCAGAGTTCACCTTTCCTGCAAGACAAAAGGGGAAAATACAGTATGAAAAAATAATCTGCAGTTCAACACAAGCAGTTATGTTTTGTTATCAACGGTTGGGTTTTAATTTTAGCTGTACTGAAATAAAAGACACGTGTAGTAGAATTTATGACTTTATAAGCTCTAGAGGGTTTTTTCTCCTAGATTTTACACTTTCATCTCAGATAATTTTATTTTTCTGGTAAATTTACAGTTTAGTTTTTTTCTTGGAATATTACTTCCCTCCGCAGGCTCCTTCATTATTATTATTATTATTTTTTTAATCTTTGATGGCCCCAAAACTCTGTCATAAGTTTGCTCTTTGTAAACTAAGCGATCATGTATGTCAAGAAAATGCAATTGCGTGTTAAATCCCCAACCATTAAATCTATGTGGAGGGTATAATTTGCCGTCTTACCCTGTGCTGTAATAACAGATATGGAAACAGGGGAGGACTTGGTGGAACCGCTGTGAGGAGTCACTGAGCTCGTCTCGTCGTCTGATACCCGGTGGTCCGTGCCGCTGCCCGATGCTTGGAGCGGTGCGTCCTCGGGCCACGTCTCTACTTCTGTGGAATCCGACCGGCCCGTCTCCCGAGCTGAACGGCTCTCGTCGACCTCTGACCCCGACCGCTGCGGCGACTGCTCTGCGTCGCCTCGCGCTTCTCGACGCGGCGACGGCAAGCTTTGGAGCACGTCACCGTCCTCATTGTTCGACCCCGGCGGCTGTGCAGTGCGACCGGGGGTCAGCTCTTCCCCCGGCTTAGACTGTGGACCGTACGCGACGGCTTCAGAGGGGTCGTCCAGGTCAGCACAGGGAGCTTTGGTCCGTTCCTTCTGGTGCGCTTCGACTAGCGGCGCGTTCTGGAGAACCTGTGCCGTCTCCTCTGATGTTGTGCGAGGGCTCGGTGGTCCGGGACAGTCCGCCGCCGCCGCCGCACCGCCTCCTGAAGGAGACAAAGAGCTTTGCGACACCCACTGCTTCTCCTTCACCAGGTTCTTCTTCAGCACTATCTTCAAGGCCAGTCTTGGTGATCTTTTCCTGACCCGTTTAGATCTCGCCCGTCTTTTCCGTCTTCGTTTCTTATTTTTTGGTGTGACTTTCAGCTTCAGCCCACTGGAGATACTGATCCCATCCTTGTACACCGCATCCCCAGGTTTTTTACCACGATCCTCCATTTCCTGGTCACTCTTTAGTTCCCGACTCTCTCGGTTTTCCTGCATTCGAGTGCCCTCAGACGGCTCGCTCTGTGCTGGCAGCGAGACGTCGTTATTCGGTTTGGTTTCAGCCTGTGGACAAGGCGCGTGATCGCTCGAATTTGGCTTACATCCATTTTGGTCGACGACGCGACGGGCATCGTCAGGGACGCTTTCAAGGGAAGCAGTTTCCTTGTCTGACGACGTCATCACTTTCAACCTCTTGGCGTACGCGCCGCCGTTCTGAGCCACAGTTATCTTGTTCTTGACGGTGAGGACGGTGAGGTCCGTCGAGTTCGACACGATGCCGTTCTCCGACTTCGGGTGGACATTCATATCTTGAGGGACATTCGACAGAACGGACTTCAGGGCCTTGGTCCACTTCTGGTCGCCGGTTTCCCCGGCGACAGATTTCATCAGAAACTGCTGAGTCTCCTCCAGTGTCGTTTGCGGGTCTGACAGATGGCAGTACTTATCCAGGAACTCTCTCCCTGGCAGAGAGAGGCAGTCCTGTGTCAGCCAGCACATCTCCCTCACTGCACTTCTCGTTAATCTGGGCTTCACTTTTGGTATCGGGTCATTTGGTTTCATTGCCAAGGAGCAAACCTCCTCCTCCTCCTCCTCGTCCTCCTCCTCTTCCTTCTTCTTCTTCTTCCTCTGATTACCATTCTGGCAAACATGGACAGCTTTAACGTGCTTAGCGATCAACCATTTCTGAGACGCCTCATAGCCACAGTGCTGACAGCGTAACGCCGGAGCGGTCTCTTTCGGCCCAAACTTATTCTTGCCCCTCGTGTGCGGCGACAGACCCTTAGCTCCCTCCAGGCCCAGATGATGCGCATACGTGTGCTCTAAAAACACTCCGACGTCACCTGTGGAGAATTTTGGACACGCTTCGCACGAATATTTGCCGTTTTGGCAGTGACGTGCTGTCAGGTGGGCGCTGAGCTCCGGCCACGTGCGTTGGACGTCGTCGTGACAAATGCCGCAGCTGGAAAAAGTGTCCTTGTGACTCAGCAGGTGAACCTGAAGGTAGGAGAACTCGTGCGTGCTGAAAGCACATGCGCGACAGGAAAACACGGGTGGGCTCCCTCTGTGCTTCTCCTCAAAGTGTCTCACCAAGTCTTTGGGAACATATTCTAAGTCGTCCCCGCACTGAGCGCACGCGAACCTGAGCGTGCTGTTGCCACCGCCGCCACCGCCGTCGTCATCGGTCCGGCGCAGACCCTGCTGCGCTCCCTTGGGGGGCTTCTTCGACGAAGGCCACACTGTGCTCTGCTCCCACTCCCCCGCTATCGTCTTTGGGCGGCGCTTATCTGCACTTTGCATAGCTGGAGGCTGAACGGCAATTTTCCTGAGGTGGAGCCGTTTGTGCCAATCTCTGTTCTTCTTGTTGACACGTGGTCTGTTATCTCCCCCGGAGGTAGCTGCGCAAATGTCCTCCGAGTCCATGTCGTGTTGTGTTCCAGGTTTCTGAAAGTGCGAAACAACACAAAAAGGATTGTCAAAAACATAAACAATACAGCTTCAAGGAGAATGCAATAAAATCAAGAGAGGTTTTGTTTTCGACTCAGTTTGGGTTTACGGGGAAAAACTACCGGCCCGATTTTCACCAATTTTGGTTGGAGGCTGCAGAATGGGCCGAGGAAGGACACATTCAATTTTGCAGCGGATCAGAATCCCGGGGTGGACGCACAAATTAGTTTCGCCGTGCTCTCCCAGAGCCCTTTCTAGTTTAAAATGTACTTTTTTTCCTTTTGTTTTGAAATGCTTTCAAAAGAACCAGCACTGCTCTGTGTGTGTGTGTGTGTGTGTGTGTGTGTGTGTGTGTGTGTGTGTGTGTGTGCGTGTGTATTAGGACTGCTGTCTCATCATTTCACAGTGGACCCCTAAAAAAGAAGCTGCGTTCACGGTCCCACTCCACATGTTATTGATGTTGAGTCCACCTGTTGCTGGCTAGGGTTCAAAATGCCTCTGCGTGGAAGTGTATTTGTCACATACCGGGTGTAAAACAACGACTTTTAGAGTCTTATCAACAGCCAGCTGCAGCGAGCTATACTTAAACTTACCTTCCCACACACACAATAGCGGTAAACATGCACGTAAAACAGCTAAACGCGCTACGGTGGGAGGCGATGTTTAAAACTAAAACTAACCAATAAAAAGACGAGGAAAAAGCTCGCGGTAGCGCTTCTTAGTAGCACATTAAGCAGTGAATCGTTCGGCCATTGTGCAACTCGACTTGACCACAACAAAGTGATGAGACCGCTTTTGTAACGAGCTACGACCGCCTTGGGAATTGCGAAGTGACGATAAAATACTACCCCACCGTACTGCCACAAGAGCCCTTTTTACCTTTCGCGTGACAAAAAAAACTCGTTCTTCGTCGTCGTCAGAGCTAACGGTTATAGAAAAGTATTTTTGTGAAATAGCGTCTGAGTGATTTGAATTAACGTGACGCGGCGAGAGCTTACAAAGACGAAATAACTTGGAAGAATAACGAGCGTGGCAAACTAAGTTACACCCGGCCGTTTTGTTTTTTTTAAACCTTTTGCATCGAGTTGTTACTGCAGATAAACCCGCCGGGTGGTTTAGACGTATCATACAGCTCCAATTGTGCGTGTAGTAGTCGGTTTTTGTTACCTTTTTTTTCCTTTTGTGGAGAGCTTGACAGCTCAGCGAGCGGCAGCCATGATGGTTTCATACGGGGATTACAGCCTCTGAGCTGCTTTTAGCCTTTAGCCCGGAGCCTCCGACGGAGAGCCGTGCTGTCCCGGGCCTGCAGCCGAGCACGACACAGCGAGCTGTTTTAATGCAAACACTGCTCCCCTTGCAGCCATGTAGTGATTTATTAATATGGGGACAACTCACTTCTGTCAACATAAAGGTGAAGCCTCCCCCAAACTAACTAACATCAACTGGGAGCTGCAAGTAAAAAAAAGAAAAAAATGTACCCACAATCCCCGTGCTGGATACTTAGTGTATCCTTGTAAATTAAAGCTGCCAGGCAAGCAGTTTATTCCCCCCCCCTGCAGTGTCAGACTTTGATATTAGGACCAGATGTGCCCATTTCAACACACAAGGGAACTATGAAAGTAGAGAAGATGTTTAGCTATTAAAGCATGCTGCAATACTGTGTAAGTGTGGAGTGAAAACACATGTATCAGCCTCTGAACACACTCAAAGCCACTGAGAGTGGCTCCTGATCGAGAGGGAAAAAATACATACAATGTAAATTTATAATCTATAAACAATTCATAACCTCTGATCAGTGTGCTGTTCTTATTCTAGCTTTTGTCACAAAAAAAAGTAAAAAGCTGTACAGCGTAATCAAACTTAAGTACTAAATTTATAACAATAGGTTACCAGAGAAAACCAAAAGAGACTGGTTAGTTCAACAAAGGAGCAATGACAATATGATCTAATACAAAACTGAATTATTTTGGAATGAAACATGTTTATGTGAAGACACAAAATAAAATTTAGATTTCCCCCCCTTCACGCTCAGTTAGGGGGTTTCTCTTTGCTGATTCTCAAGCATGTGCCGTGTTGCTATTCTGGGCATGTACAGTAAGTAGGTAATAACAATAATATTAATAATAAGGCCTATTATCTGGCAAATCACTTTGGAACCCTTAGGGTTTGCCAGGCAGTTCACAAATGGCATTAACATACAATGACAGGCTAATCCACAGAGTTCAACAAGTAAACCAGTAAATGTCAGACACTGTAATAGATGATATGCTGTGGATTACTTCACACCAGTTTCACATCACTTTTAGTGATCTTTAATGAGACTGTGAGGAATTCGTTTCCATAAAAAAATGAAAGAACATATTAGAAATAAAGTTTAGAGTACATTTTATTTTACATTACATCTACTGTACCAGTGATATTATTTTCTCTATGGTAACAATAGATTTTATTGCACATGAGCTTCTGACAGGGGATTTCCGGCGGGTCAGAAGTGAGAGAAAAGTTCACGTAACGCATCAAAGATCCTCAGTGCCTGGAGCACATTGGACAACGCCTAGCAGTTAAAACTAAACAAAGCTGGGGAGGTCACAAACACCGTCTGAGGGGAGTCGCAACTCAAAAAGGTTGAGAACCAGCTGTTTTAGAGTCATGTAGCGATTCTTTTTCATGTGTCATTTCATGCAGTTGGAAGCAAGTCATCTTGTATTTACTGACTTTTTACGTTGGACCGTACTGCTCACACGGCCGGAAGGTCACCTGCACATGTGACTTCTTGACTTTGTCAGAAATGACTCTGCATATGGACTGTCAGTCGGTTTGTCATTAAATCTTAAGTGAGACTCTATATGAGTGACCTTTGTGCTGCCAACAACTTGCAACAGAGCCCTCCCAAAAAACACTAAGATAAGGTAAAGATGAACATTTGTGTCACCCTAGAAAAAAGAAAAATAAACAATGGTTCACATTAAGAAACCGGGTGAGTCATTCTAAATCTTTTGGCGTCACCGACACAACTGACCAGAATATTTAAGACGTAAAATGGATTGTGTTCCCTGCAAAACACAGAGGAGGACACACAGGCAGAAGTGCTCCAGTGTAATATCAATAGCTGACTCGCCACTTAACACCCTCTGCTTTCTTATGGAGAAAGCACAGCAGTGGGTTGTTCGCATTTCTGTGCAAGTCAATGGCTACCCTTCACCGAGGCTCTGCGTGACACCGGGGGGAAGAAAAGCACAGAAAGGACGGGCCACCAGCTCCCTTCACGCAGGGCGCCATTTGTTTCCTCTGGGAGACATTTTTCCGGCCCATTGAGGACAAGACTACACACCACCTGAGCTGCTTCTACCACCGAGCAGCCAGCATTACCAATCCTCTTAAGACCCCCCCACTGCATGCAGCCCCAATCCCTGGACTGCTCTTTTTGTTATTATCTAAGCACAACATGGAACCAGTATGATGTCTTTGCACTGTTATGCTCCCCACAGAACATTACAGAATTAAAGAGAGGGTGTGTTTACTTCCTTTATATTCAGTTTGTTTGCCCTTGAAAGACAGGGAAGCCATTGTAACATTGATGTCGCTTCAACCTATATGGGTCAAATTGAACTGTGCAGCGCTGCTGGGGCAAACTGACCCATTTTGAATTTGTACCACGAAAAGGACTCGATGACCCAGACATGTGTTTTATTTTTTCCTTTTGTTCAGATTTGCACTATATTTCCTACATTCAATGCACACAACACATGTGGATTCGCGCTCTGCGAGTTTCAGTCCCTTCCAAACTGTTTTTTTTTTCACTTTGTACTTCATGATAGAGAGAGAGCTGAGGGATGCTCAGTGTGCCTCGGGGCTTATGCAAGAGAGCGAGGCAAACAGGGACAGTTATGTACTGTAGTGAGATATCAGTTCAAAACGAATAGGATATCTATAGCCTAACACCCAAACCTTGCATCCGTTTATTCTAGGATAATCATTATGTAGATATAACAAGATGCATATTTATATAATAGGTATGTATCGTGCCTAGTCACTGTCATTCACCAGGGTTATCACATCCTACAATATGTAACCATACATCATATGGAGGCCCCATGGGAGTAAATAAGATTGGTTTCAAGTGATGCATGTAAAAGTGGTAAATCCCTCCTTTCTACAATTTAAGATTTTTTTTCCCTTAAATAGTCATTGCCACGATACAATGACTTCTGCAACAAGGACACAACAGTCTTATTTCTCACAGTTTTATTGAAAGCTTTATTGCAAGATCAACTGTAAATCCGGCCGGTATCGCATCAAAACTTTGCACAAACAAGATGGTGCAAACCCAACACTCAACTTTCAGTGCAAAAAGTAGGCTTACCAGTGAATTGTTGAATTTTTTTGTTGTTGCTGTTTTTCATAAATAATTTGAAATTTTATTGGCCACATTTTTTGTTATGTATGTTGTGTTGATGTGGCGTGTTGTGAATATCTTGCTGTAAAAAACTGTATCCTCGCCAATTCTAATTCCCCTTCATTGGCCTTTGGCTGCATCAGGCCAATTGATTGGATATTGGCGATAGGGCGATGCCTTCAAGTGCTAATCGGAAACGTAGTACTTACCGTAAAAGTTCCCTTTGGGAGAAAAAAATAACCTGATTTTCTGATTCGAAATGTCATTCTACCAAAACTGAGAAAATAATTTCAACAATGAATGAACCGTGTACGACGGCAAATGTAATTGTGTGGCATAGACAAGCTTGAACCATACGAAGACATGACAGTAATGTAGTCTTGAAGCAGACATTGTAGCATAAACATCTGTTTTTTACGTTTTGTTTTCCCCCACTTGCCAACACCACTGTCCGGCTTTTTCCCCGGCTTCTTTCGCGTCGGTTGTTCCTGCGCACGCAACTTGAAGTTTTTTTCCGGTAGCACTCGAACGCAGCAGGGGGTGTTTGCTGAACTCGTGCGGAGCCTCGCAGCCTGACGGACTACAACAATGACTGTGAGCAAGCATGTCCGGCTAGTTTGAATCGAAGTTTACTTCAGTGAAACTGCCGGTAATATCCCCTACATGTGCTCATCGGGTGAGTCTCCACTTTTGAAGCGTCACCATCAACCGTTTTTAATTTTACAGTTTATGAAAACACCACCGACGACGGCGGGTTGGTCCCCGGTGCCCACTTCGATCCGCTAACTTTGAACGGTTGTTGCGTGCTGTTGTTTGTCCCCATGTGCACTTCAAGTCTCAGTTGAGCGATTGCCTCTCGTGTGTTCTGCCTTCCAGAGGTTTCCAAAGCACTGTGATAAATGGAGCTGGAGGACCAATGGTGGAAAGGACAACTCGCTGCAGACATATACCAGGCGCTCCGATACAAAGTGAGTGGGACACTTCAGTGATGGCTGCCAGGATAGACACGTTGTAGCAACAAGTGAAATAAGTCACTTTTAAGTGTTTTTTTTAAATTCTCTTGTGTCATGCCTACATTTTGTGCATATCATCTTGTTCTTGTTTCTTTACTGGTCTGTGTATGCACATACCACCCCCCTCATGAATCTGTGATCTATTGAATATCTTTTATTTTTTTTAGGCAGAAAAAAAATCAGATTTGTCATTTGTAAAATAAAAACAAAACTTTTTTTTAAGAATCCCCTTATTATTATTTATCTATTTTTTCTTCTTCTTATAATTAAAGAAATTGGGCCCACAATAAGTAATGCCAACATCAGCAAAAGATTATGCAAATACAGGGGTGTCGTTAGGCCTATTTTAGGGGGGCTGAAGCCCTCCTAAAATGTTCTTCAGCCCCCCCAAATAATTTGGCATTATTGGATTTTAAAAAAATATATATATTTTTTTTTTTTTGGTGACGTCATTAAATTAAACTATTGTTTCTCACATGGACAAGTTATTTATAACTCTAACATGCTACATATGTGCATGCGTTCTGGTTTGTATGTTTTCTCCCCCTTCAAATTACAATCCAACAGCCTATCATCATACTTAACAATATAAAGTTGACACTGTCAGGTCCATTCTCCATCCATTGTGTGCGGTCCCTTTAAGAATTAGGTTTTGGGAGTGACGCGGATATGAAAGCTAGTTTATCTGTGTTTCCTTTACAAGCAGGAAAATTATTTCTCTCTTTATTTGAGAAAAGTTCATATTTGTGTTGTCAAATTTCACGATGCCCCTGAAATTCTGTCTCTTGTGTTGTCATATACTGAATGCAAGCAAAACTATAGAGCAAAATCACACTCCTTCTGATTGAACCAATCTATGAACTGTCTGAAACAATGGATATCCACGGCCCCAAATGGGCCCCAAAAAAAATTGCAGGCAAACATGCCACTCCCCTTGGGGCTAAGCCCCCCCTTTCTTTGAATCCTAGAAACGCCCCTGTGCAAATGTAAAAAAAATCTTGTCTTTGCTATGTGGTGGACAAAACTATGTAGTGAAGACACTGAATTGTCCTGTTGCTCACCAGCCAACATGTACATTATATCTGCGAGGAGTTGATATTGGCCCATACCAAGTGTCTCCAGTGTGTACATTGAGTATGTTTTTGCATGTTGGATGTGTATACATGGTGTTATCGCAGGGTCAAACCAAAATCTAGTGACGGTCAAGTCTGATATGTTGTCCAACAGGAGCTCAAGTTGCCATCCTACAAAGGCCAGTCCCCTCAGCTCAACCTGAGACGGTACTTTGCAGACCTCATAGCCATCGTCAGCAACCACTTCCGGCTGTGTCCAGCAGCCAGACACCTGGGCGTCTACCTGCTGGACCTCTTCATGGACCGCTACGATGTTACGGTGCAGCAGCTTCACATGGTCTCACTCTCGTGTCTTCTTCTGGCCAGTAAGATCACACTCGAACACACACGTGACATGTTTTCTGGTCCCTGCATGCACGGTGTGTGATGTTCTTTTCGCAACTCTTCTTCGCTGCAGGTAAATTTGAGGAAAGGGAGGACCGGGTGCCCAAGCTGGAGACCCTGAACAGCCTGGGCTGCATGAGCTCCATGAACCTGGTGCTGACCAAGCAGGGTTTACTTCACATGGAGCTGCTCCTGCTGGAATCCTTCCAGTGGAACCTGTACCTCCCCACAGCAGCTCACTTCATAGAATACTACCTCTCTATCGCCGTCCACGAGGGAGACCTCCATGACGGCTGGCCGATGACCTGCCTGGAGAAGACCAAACTATACATGGCCAAGTATGCCGATTACTTCCTGGAGGTTTCCTTGCAAGGTGAGTTGCATTTGATTTGAGAATGTATAGAAATGACATTGATTTAACTGTCTTCACTCACATCTCCCTACATACTGTACGGACATTAAACGGCAGAATTAAAAGAGTTTAAAGTTTTCAGGCTGGCCGACATTAATTTGCTTGGATAGCCTTCCCACTGTGCCATGGAAAATGCAGACTTTAAAAAAAAAAAAATTGTTTACGCTTCATAGTTCGTTATAAGAAATTAATTTACAATTTAATACATTTAAATTAGTGACTTAAAGTTAGCTTAACCACAACAAATCACTTCAATCCCACGAGAGTCGGAACAAAAGCTACTCTGCTATGCTTGTTAGCCTTAGCATGAGTTAAGCTAGTTTTTTTTGTTCTCTTTCATGGTTGGTTTTCATGAGGAATTTACTTAGTTGTGTGAAAACAAACTGAATCATGTTGGTTCATCAAAATTGATATTTTTTTCAATAACTGACAACCATAAATGTAGCTTTAGGTAAGGCTAGCCGTGTCCATCTCACTAGCTAGCTTTCCCTTTGATATAGTAGCACTCTTGTTTTTAGCTGTCTAGTTGGTTGTCTTTCTGTGACACGGAGCTTCAACAGCCAGCAAATTTTATATGCTTTTTTCATAGAAATGTTAATGGAATGATAATATTACATATGATAAAACAAACTAAATTAAATGACTGCCGTAACTCCTTTTTGACCGATTATGACGTTTTGGCTTGTTTTGCAGCACAGTTTTTTTGTTTTCTTTGTACTGCATGTGATGATGCATTGCTGTTTTCTTTCCCTCCCCTCAGATCATATGTTCTTGTGTTTTGCCCCCTCGCTGGTGTCCGCCGCGTGCGTGGTCACCTCCCGCCTGGTCCTCCACCTGTCTCCAACATGGCCGCCCCGACTGCAGCACCTCACAAGCTACACGTGGGAGAACCTGGTCCCATGTGCCGAGAAACTACTCATGTGTGTAAACCCCGTCCGTGGCTCAGATGACGCCGAATTTGCGTACACGCTCATTTCAGCCACTAAAAAAAAACTAAAACTGATGCATACCGATGACAAGTTCTGCCACATTACATGAGAACAATAGGAGCTCACACATTTCACGCTCCGCATTCAACACGTTAGTGCTCACCTCACGGTGCTGGGTCTTTTCACTAATCGCCTTTGTTCCTTTTTTTTCTTTATTTTTCTAGTGCACATGATGGTGACGTCAAAGAGGCCAACAAGCAGAAGTGCCAGCAGCCCGGCCAGCAGCAGCAGCAGGGCCAGGCGGTGTACCATGGTTCAGGCCAGACAGCTACCGTGACACAGTACCTGCACCGGCACAGCTTGCAGTACCCCCAGCAGGCCCCGCCGCAGCCGGCCCTGGCCCCGAACCACCGGCCTGCCTCCTACCTCAGCCTGCAGGCTCCCAACGGCAACGCGCAGGCCGTTGGCGCCTCGCAGGATCCAAAGTCCAGCATTCCCAACAGGGCCTACCAAGTCAGCATGCACTACACCTGCGCTGCCCCGTGCTTCGACAGATGATGGGCTTTTTCAGGATGTGGTCCTTTTTTTATTTTATTTATTCCTTTTTTTTGGCGGTAGGAAGACATAAGAGATGGTGATCTGTTTCTCTTGAACACGATGGAACGCATTGAAGGAGAAATAAGTGTTTTTAATTTGGAGAGACTTGATGAGATTATTACAGCACTTTGAACCACAAGGTGTGCGTAACGTGCAATACGGGTGCTCTGCAGTGACGTTCTGCATAGAGCCTGCATTAAGATTTCTGTTTGTTTGAGATGTCGGGTGTGAATGTTGTCGCGAGGTGGGCTAGAGGCAGAGTTTGCACCACTGCACCCACTAGTGTCAAATTATAATTTAGCTACAGACCAAAAGTCTTGTATTTATTTGAGCCAAATTACCTCAAGAGTATTGAATGTACGAAATACCTCATGCCTTTACCCTTTAAGTTTAAGGCCAGTTACAAAAAAGGGACTTGTGTTGGTTTGTGGTTGAGATTGGAGAGCACAGTTTGTGTAGGTGTTATGTACCTCGAACTTTTCCTTTTTTTTTTTTTTTTTTTTTTTTTTTTTTTTTTTTTTTTTTTTTTTTGTGATGAGTGTCGTTTGCAAAACTGAGAAAATAAAAAATTCTCCTCTAGATGTCACGATTTGTTTGCGGAGAAAACTGTTGCTCTTCTGGACACGGAGGATTTCAGTCAGTGCTGTGCACTTGAATGATGATAGTTTTAAATAAAATACAAATCTGTGTTGGTTGAACTGAGATTTGTGTCCTGTTGACTTCTTTGATACCGCCTAGAAATGATCTCTTTTGAAATTCTGAGACGAACAAACATGACATGCCAGAGTTTCTTCAACAGGAACGACACGAGAACCCGCCCATGAAGCAAGATAGACTCCTGCATATTTAGAATTTGACATATTGCATAATAAACATCACCTGTTTTTCTTATATTCTGCCCTCATGCATGTACATGGAGAGGACCAATAATATATAACACCTCAATAAAATGTAGTCCAGTACAACACCACTTTTACTGATGTAAAAATAGATGTATTAGATTGTATAGGTGTGTCTAATAAAGTGGCCCCCGGCCTGATTGTATATCTAGCATCAGTCTCCAGGTTGCTTGTCAGAAGATTTGAAAAATCCGTGTCAAATGCTGCAGGTGTTTTTGTATACATGTCATTTTAGGTCATGTGTTGGAACCAGTGGCAACAGCAGCCAGTTAATAATAAAAAATAACATGTAATATCCAGACCAGCTGTATGTGGTGTAAAATAGTGAGAGTAAGGTTGCCTGAGGGCTGACCCACGGTCTGCAACGTCCCCGGTGTCATCCCCCATCTCTCTCTCTCTCCCCCCCCCCTAATTTCCTGTTATTTCCACTGTTGGCTATCCAATAAAGACACCAAATGTCCTCAAACCGCTAAAGCAATGCATCATAAATGACGACTGAAAAGGGAAAAAGAAAAACGGCATATACTGCCATTAATAGTTTCTGTCTGTTGACATGGCGATCTGCAGTCTGCAGAGGGCAGTGTTTGCCACATTTATGTCCGTCTCTCTGGCTTCATAGCTCTTGTTATATTCCTCCATGTGGTGCTGTCTCAGAAATGTGTATTTCAACACTTGTCCTAGATCTGGTGATAAAAGGCTATGATGCAGAGGTGCCACCCAATCTCATTCTTGTGTTCTAGGCTCTGCACTTACAAAAGGAATGAGCTAAATGTTCATTCTAGTGCATTAACACTGTGTGCCTCATGAGGTGAACCCCGTGCCTCCACTCTCCCTGGACATCAGAGGAAAAGGAAAAAATGTTTGGAATCAGACACAAAGCCAGTCTCTATTAAGTTACATAACATGCACGTTCATTTGTTTCTCCTCCGCTGTGCTTTGAAAGAAACCCCTTAAATTGATAGTCTCTTGATAGTTTCTAATTAAAGTCAGTTCCTGCTGTAAAGGTATGTGGTCGGGTCTGACGGAAATGCAAAACCTCTGATGAACTACTGATTCCTGCACACGTCACGGTGCGGCAGAGCCACTGAAATAGTATTTCCGCTCTGGAGTGATTCGCTGCCGAGCTTCCTGTGGAGGAGGAAGCAGACTGATGAACCTGGTGGTGAGGACCAAAGTCCTCTGGCTGTTGAGACAAATCCACGGCGTCCGCTTGCTGCAGGAGTCAGTTTAGTTGCCAAACCAGTAGGTGGACCAAGATTGATAACTATGCCAAAGCATTTATTATGATGCAGGAAAACCACAGTGAACAAGGATGGAGGGATTGAAGCCTTCCCAACAGGCAGCATGGGTTGAGTCAACAAACTTCAGGAGAAAAGCAGTGAAAGTGACTTAAAAATACTTTTCTGTGGTTCTTAAAATGTTTCATCTGAAAGAAGCCATCCGCCCACCTGTCCATCTGCTACTCCACCAATGCTAAAAGCATTTTTTTTTGAATTGTGTTTTCATATTCAGAATGCACATTTATGAACGTAATAAACAGTGCGATATGATTCTCTGATGAATCGGGGTGACCTTGGAGAGAACTTGTGCCATCGATCAGCCGTAAGCACAGCAGGCTGTCTGAAGTGGAGCATGACTTTTCAGTGAACTTGTCACTATTAAACATCCAGTCTATCCATAAAACTAAATAGAAATAGAAATAGAAATGTTGATAATATACTTTGTCACACTGACAGGAGCTTGTGTTTCATCCAAACTCCATGAATTTTGTCTTGATGACGGCACTATTTTACACCGTAAATTCAGCCTATTATCGCTGCGACGTTGGAATGGTGTTCCATCTGCAGTCGGAGTGGCTTTGAGGTATTGAGCTTCAAAGTTTTCACATCCCAGAGAGCAAAAGTGATGTGCAGCAAAGTTGCCTTTTATTAGTCAAAATAATAAGCACACTAAAGGCATTCTAAATCCCATTCATCCCATTCAAACACACTTTTAAATGGACTTTTGCAGATTTATGTTCAACCTTTCCTTGCATTCTGTCCATAGACAGGCCATGAGAATAGAGCGGTGTAACCTCAGCATATAGCAACTAGGGGACATTATTTTGTTCAATGTTGTGGTCTTGGATGAACATCTACTTCAAAACAGAAAGGGGCCTAAAATATTGTGGGACATCATGCATGAGTCACATGACGATATATGTAAAGAGGAGAACCAGTGTAGCATTAAAGCATGGTGGAATTAGCTAGCTATCAATGCTATGCTGGATAAAGAAAATGAGTCGGACAAAATGTGTTACTCTTCTGGCAATAGCAATATGCTCTCCTACGGATGAAGGAAACATTTTATAGATTTACTCTGGCTCTCTACACTTCATAACGTTACTCCTTAACTGCTCGTACTAGTCGTTAGCAAAGTGAGTCTGTGACTTGCAGGAAATCGGTTTAGGTTATATACGGAAGGAAGCTAGCCCTAACCGAAAAGACAATTTGGTCAGAGGCCTGTCATCATTCAGATCATCGGAATCAAGGCCTTGTCTCTTTAGGTGTTAGACAAAAGCATGCTTAAAACAGAATAGAGCTATAGTGCTCAGGGGATTACTCATCATGTCGAAACAGCAGAACTACCAACACTAAATAACTCTTTGATGTGCAACGCTGGAATATTATCGAACTGGTTTTGACTAAATCTGGTATGTCATTGGTTAAAAGTGAGGTAGTAAAGTAGATAAAAAAAGCTTTTGTGTTTTATATCTCAGACTGGGCTGTGTTCAGTGAAAGCAGCCTCACTTGTCAAGCTGTTCTTGGACTGTGAAGTCGAACCGCTCCTTCGGGGCATGCAGGCGAAAGCTCCCGTTTCTCTGTGTCTCTGAAGACAATAACACGAGGAGACCGGTGTGAGGGCCGCTCCGGGGCACACTTTGGTGTGTTGCCGTGTCCCACGTTGCCAGAGCCGATAGCACACTTTTCACGAGAAGGATCATTTAAAATATGACTGTGACGAAAATATGTACGCCTCTCTGACTGAAACGAATGCCTGCGTTCACACCACATCGAGAACCATTACGCAAACAATGTGCGTGTTTATCATGTAGCCCAATAGTTCGCTTTCTGTGAACGGACTTTCATGCAAGTTACACAAAATATTTATAATATACAAATATTTATAAATATATAATTTGATAGCTCCCTACTTAACAATCGCCAATGAGAAGCAAGTCAATTAAGACACATACTCAGGCTCACTCACCTATGGAGGCCAAAGTGTTTTTTTAAAATAAGGAAACCATTGTGAAATAATTTAAGACAAAATGCAACTCATCAGTACAGAATGTTATCTCATCATTGTTCTTATTTTTTATAATGATATGACTCGTATAAGAAATGTTCTAAATGCAGCTTGTTTTTTTTAAAGTTTGCTTTCAAAAAAAGAACTGCACTCACATTTTAGTGAGTGAATCTTTCTCCTCCAGATTCATGAGCTCATTACACACAAAGAAGCGCCTCATAAAAATGACATTGTCCACCTTCAGAAAGAGGATGAATAAGCCCATTAGATGCATTCAAATGAAAGATTGCATTCAAAGTTCTGAAAATGTATTGTCTGTCATTGCATTATTACAAGCACCTCGCCTTTTGTTCCCTATTCAGTTTGGATGATCTGTTTGCCTTCACTCTGATCAGAAGACAGATGGTACAGACGCGAGCCAGCCTGGATATGTCATTGAGATCTCGGCAGTACATTCAAAGGACATGAGTAGGCCTGATATGTCACACAATGCATGCTATTTGGGTCCGTGGTGATGATTGCAGATTTCATATGACATGCGTCGGTATGTTTTATGATCAGCTCTCAGTCATATATTTCATAAATACCTGTCTGTTTCGCTTTTATTCCACTTCACTGTATGTATTCCTGTTGAAAATGTGCTGTAGCTAAAACACTTAGTGGTCAGAGTAGAACTCAGCAACTTAATATCGTGTTTCATTTCCACAAATTTGGATTCTGAACACGTGTCTATTTTTAAACATGTTTTTCTTTCCTATTTACTGACATCAGAGGGTGAAACACAGTTCAGCTTGGAATACAATTACATCATTGCCGGTCCTCAAATAAATGTGTTCAGTGTAAAAGCGATGTAGCTTGTGCTCCGAGCCATCAGTGGCACCTGATCTCATTTTCTCCAATACTTTAATGGTGTGGTGTACTGAACAAACATTTGCTCTGGAAGCAGAGTAGTAGGTCACAATAAGTCCAGCTGCTATACATCTTAATACTGTAGTCTATATGGAACATATGTATTCAATATATGGTTGGTCTTTTTAATTGTCAGAAAATGGCTGAAATAAGTAAAGTCCTCCTAACAAGCCTCCCTTTAAATGATCATGTTTCACTTTCCCTTAAGGTTAATCACGTCTGTTTACATTTTTTCTAAAAAGCATATAAATCATGTAAGAATACAATACAGTTAAAATCACTTCCATTGTGCATTGTAACCTGTTTAGACTCAATTCTTTGCAGAGATAAAACAGGATTTACTGTAATCTAAACGGGAACACACTCCACACTGCACTGCCCTGTGCTTATTTTAGACATTACATAACAATGTTTCATAACCAAAATTCTGAAAACAGACAGGATGCTCATTGTGTGATGAAGTCATTTGTGATTCAAATCCTATGCAGCCACTTTATGCGATGTGCAAGACATTATACAAAACTCTGTCATCTCACAACCTGCCCTTTTCTTTAAGGCTCTCTTTTGCCGTTTGTCCACTGTAGAATATGGAGTTGATCACATGCATGCAGCAATCTCCTGCATGTAACCGCCTCAGATTGTTTGCTTTTTCTATCAATATCAAGAATGTAATTTTGGGCATTTTGCAGTTTTTTTCAAGAGTTCTCATCCTGGTTTCTATGACAATGCTTTAAGAACACGCAGGCAGTTGTGGTTTTTCAATTTATTTCAGTCATATTTTTGAAAGAGAAGAGCTAAACCTTCAAATCAAACAGGTCACACTGTACTTGTATGTTATATTCAATCATCACATGTATTGTAGACCAATAGGACTTCTCCTGCGGTATGCTTATGATAAATAAATAAAGGCTGTGGCATAAAAGTCTTCTGATGTAAAAGATCGTGAAACATTATGAGGTCAGACTGTGGAAGGTCACCCATGAAGTCAAGCTGTCTTTTCCATTTCTGTCTTGCATTGTATTTTAAGATTTCAACTATAAGATAAAACAACTCATACACACAGCAACTCTGGACACAAAGTGCTTGTGCATCAAACTCCTCATAGTGTGTATTGTGTGCTCCAGTCTGTGTCGAACATTGTGCTGCATTATACTGCTGTGATGATGACAGGGGCTTGATAAACTCTGGTGATTTTATCAAGAGATAAGCAGCACAAACAACATCCGCTAAAACTTGAGACAACAGTATTCTATAAAATGTGTTAAGATCACAGTTCAGAGGATGTGTGTTGTTTTTGTTCTGTTTTTCAAATACATTCAAATGCAATTTTGTGTCATCTAAATAATGGATATATTGCATATCTGCAGTGACACAGGCATATGGGTTAGTCATGCTAAAAGGAAAATGTGAGAGGTATTAGAGGAAGTATATAAGATCTGATAAACTAGTAAAATACATTTGTACAGTGTGCGTATGCAAGCTGTGTGTGATCGTGTCTGGTAGGTGCACTGACAGACGCATTGTCATAGTGCTAGTACAATGAAATACATGTCATTTAAATATTGCAAATACTTCTATCATGAGATGCCATCAGTCCACTGAATTGTCTGCATATTTTCCCAACTTAATGACAACTGAAAGCAATAGTGAACTTCTCTGAAACACTAAGCATGATTAGCCTTTGCTGAATGCCACTTTTTGCCAAATTATTCATTAGACATATCATTAATTAATTATACATTATTCTTTCCTATTCTTAAGTCAGAGCTGCGGCAAACGTTCCTCTGTTTGAAACTGACAAGGTTAACCATTGGCTTTTCAGGACCATGGTCAGCTCAGGAATCATTGACAACTTTAACTGGAAGTAACGTCAGCAAATACAATTAAATATAGTGAAAATGCATGCCCACTTTAGAATAAGTGTAACAAAGTCAAACTAAGATAATTTGATTGGATTTATAGAAGCAAATCCAGTTAAGGGCAATTGGAAGATATCTAGCATGCATACAGGCGGATTGAGCGTATAAAATCACAACACCAATAAGTTAGTGCGTTTCTGTTGTGTTTTAGATGAACTAGAGACACGTAGGATGCTACAATGTATCTAACATTATTCCGAACTATCTCTTTCCGATTTTTTTTCTTCCCATTCGCTTTCTCTTTTAACGTGCATTTTGATTGGCTCTCCGAGATGCTTCTAGCCAATCAGCCTCCGCCTGCTGTGGAGGAAGGAATAAATGGAAGATGGCTCCTCATATAAAAACAGTCTTCTGGGTCGCCCTCAGCGTGCTTCAAAATAACTCTTTATACCTTAATAGGTTGAAATATTTATCCGCGAAGAGTTCTGAGGGGTAACGTCAGCTATAGATTGATATGCGAATGGTATTCAGCGATATTTCGTGGGAGAAGATACCGAAGATACAAGCGGGACAACTTTGTAGCCATGAATCGGTGGTGAACTCCCTCCGTTCGGTAGACAGAGTCGGGCTGGTCACAAGCACACAGCCTGGGCCTCGGCTAGCTAGCGGCAGCTGCTAACTAGCTAATGACTTCATCTAGCTGCTGTTGTCCGCCGCATTGGAACTGTTAAACAGCAGAGAGGAACACTTCTCAAATCACTGGTTGCCTGTTGAATGCGGGGCGTAAGAAGGCCATACAATAAGTGACCATGGCTGTATCAAGGTAAGAGTGGCTGCCTATGTTCACTCTTGTTTTATCTGTTCAAATTTCCAAACCAATTAACGCTAGCGAGCTAACCTGCTAATATCTGTTAGCTTTTTGATATTGGCAAAGGATGGCCTGGCGGCGGCCGACTAAATTTAGCCGGCATGCTAACGCAGAGTAACGCTACAGTGTACAATTGTAGTCTCTATTCGTAGCACACGTTCGCAGGCCGAGCACATAGTTAACTCAATTAGGACTCATGTTTACTGCAGGTGCGAAATGTCTGTTAACGGGGGAAAAAATTCACAATTTAGTGCTCGGCTGATGCTCTTTACTTAACAAACGGAGTCCGTTATAACGTTATAACGAATTGTGAAGTTAGGATAAGAAGGTCAGTTTACAAACACGAGACAGCACTATTGGCTACCTGTAGAGTTTACTTGTATTGATGAGGGTAACTAGAACAGGGACGCTGTGAAGTCTCGCATTTAAACAAACAGGCACGTCAAAGTGCAGCCTGTCATCTACGCTAAAGTTTGGTTACTCTTTGAAAACACGTTAGAGAATAGGCTACTTCTCTTAACATTGTTTTTATGTTTACTTAGCTGGTGTATTCCGCAGTGATTGTTGTGACAATTCCACATGGTGTCAATGGGCCTCTTTTGCACAGCAAAGCGGACTCCTCTGTAGTTCAGCCCAAGTATTAGTGGAATACATCTCTAATCCACTTCACGTTTTATTAATAGACTGCTAATGACCTCAGTGGAAGACCAGGTTCATTAGATGGGTTACCTTGGTGCTAAGACACACTAGGGCTGGGCATTATGGGAAAAATCAAATATCACAATATTGTTGACCTCTTGATATTAGTGCTTTTACATAATATTTAGACACAGATTTTTTTGATGATTAATCAAAAGTAATGTGGATATGATGACTAAGTGGGTGAAGGCAAATAATAGAACAACCTGGTTAGTTCAGATAATTACATCATTTTACCGTAATGCAGCTTTTTCAAAACCTGGAAAAAATGCCAGATAACGACATAAAAAAAAATCCAAGACAATGTCTAGTCTCATATCAGGATATTGATATATCGATATAGCCAATCAATTGATAATACATAATGATTTTATCCATACAAATAAATGTCAGTGTTACAGTGAGAGCATTTGACATATGGAATTATATAATACATTTTTTATATTATATATTATAATTTATATATATATATATATATATATATAATTAGACTGGAATGGGGGGGAAAGGTCATATCAATGTACAACAGACAGATTTAGATCAAATATTCTGGTCCTATCATTGTGTTCAAACCTTTGAAGTGGTCTTTTCACATTAGAGTACCAAAAATTAGAGAAGAGGAACCAGTGTGTTTGTTCAATGCTACACGTTATGCATGATAATATCTCTAATGTTTCCATAATGGGACCTTGTTTGTTTTTTTTGTCACCTGTCTTTAGACTCGATCGTTTGTTTATCTTGCTTGACACCGGGACAACGCCAGTAACCAGGAAAGCAGCAGCCCAGCAGCTTGGAGAAGTGGTCAAACTCCACCCACATGAACTCAATAACCTCCTGTCAAAGGTGCGTTTGATAGCTCAGTCTAGACTGTCGGTCATGAGCCTCCAAAAGATAATGTAAACCTGGGTGTATTGGACTGTCCATGCAGTGAAATCTGTGGAATCTTGATAATGTCCAACAGTGTGATTCCTGCTGAGCTGGATGTGCCATGGTAGCACCTGGATTTAATTTTTTTTTGTACGTTACTCTCACCTTGAAACTGTAACAAACCAAACGTCATGACAAAAACAGCAAGGGCACACTTGTCTTTCCTTCTCTTTGCACTTTTAATTTAAGTTGTACATGTAGCAGCCTAAATGTATTTTCTGTCAATTACCAGGTCTTGGCCTACCTAAGGAGTCCCAATTGGGACACTCGAATAGCAGCAGGCCAAGCTGTAGAGGCCATTGTAAAGAATATTCCTGACTGGGACCCGACACCCAAGCCTAAAGAAGGTGAGTGTTTTCTGTCACATTTGAGCGACACTGAAGCGATAGTTCAGGTTGTTTGAAGTGGGTTTGTGTGAGGTACTTGGGTATAGGTGCACCCCCAGAATGGAGACTGGAGCAAAGCAATGCACTGCTGTGGATGGGGGCGCAAGACATCTAAAAAGGCCTATTTCACTAACCTATTTCAGTTTAAGTGAAGGTGATATTTCTGAAGTGGAACTGAACTGCAAGTGAAACTTGTCTATATTGTCTTGTGGCTTTGAAGAAGTTTCAGTTAGGTTCCCCATCATAAAGGGCTTCTTAAAGGCAAGATAAAATGGGGAAAATATTCTAAATACTGTATAGCGTTTACTTAAATGGATATTGGCAAACCCACATCAAATAAATCAAACCATCCCTGTAAGCGGAAGGTTATGTGCCAAATGCAACACAATTTCCAGTTAATGTGTGTGCTTTTTTTTTTTTTTTTTTTTGTTCCTGCCAGTGAAAGAGATGTTACAGTGAACTTGGCGGCAAGAACATATTTGAAGACTCAGCCAATTTGGCTCCAGGGCTAACTGATACGTGCAAGATTTGCTGTTCAAACACATACTGCCCTCTGTTAGTTAAGATGCCCTCTACAGTGGGTCCTCACACTAGCAGCTATAGCATAATCTTACATTATTATGTCAAACATAGTCCCAAACTAATAGATCACTGTGTTTTTAAAAAAAAAACAAGTTCACATAGACACCAAAACATCAGGAAACTGGTCAATGCCTTCTCCTCTTTTGTTTGATAAGCAATAAAGTGATGTAATGATTAAAGAATGCTCCTTTTGGCTAGACGGAGCCCAGTTAGTCTACTTTGTCCCAGCAGGTTAAACCCTCACTTATTACCATTCAGTGTAACTAACCGCAACGTTACAGCGCATTAGCCGCAACGTCTCCGGTTTGATTCCAGCAAGGGACCTTTTGTCACCTGCTGTATCCTCCCTTCTACCAACTGTCCTCACAGAGCGCATCAGAAAGACAGCTTTGTAACAATTCTGCTTCTTAACATTAACAATAACATTGAGTTATTTTTTTCTTTTTTTTTTTTATATGACCCCTCGACATTGTACGGCCTCCATTTTCAGATTCGTCCATTGTGTACACAATAATAAAAAAAAAAAAAAAAAAAAAAAATTGCAGTTATGTTTGGTAGAAATAACACACTTGCTCTTAAATGCAGGCATTAGTACAGACACGATCTCTGATTCAATACGTAGTTAGAGGGTCACGTGTGCTGTTCTGAGACTCCTCTGGTTCTTTCCTGTAGAGTCCAGTGAAGACTTGTCTCCAGAGGACTCCGCTTGTGACCGCTTGACTTTCTACCACTTTGACATCTCCCGGCTTCTCAAACACGGGGCCTCTCTGCTGGGATCCGCAGGGGCCGAGTTCGAGCTGCAGGATGACAAAACTGGTTTGTAGTAGTTCTTTTTTGTTCTGGTTGCAATAACCTCCACGCTGTTAACGCTCTCAATTAACATGCATTGTGACCTGTGGAAAGTGACTCGTTTGAGCCGTGAATATTTAGTTCTTGATTATTCTTTGTGGGGCACAGACCACTGGGCAGCTTTGAATTTGAGCTCATTGGAATATTTTGCGTCCGTACTGTCCAAGCTGCTTGTTTTGACTCGAGGAAAAGGGATTCTGACTTGACTTTTTTGTTTGCTAAACAAACTTTTTCACCACATTTACTCCCTATCCCATGAATCCCACACTTTAGTGTTGTGAAAAATGGTTATTAACTGAGGTTGATTCTGACATAAATACCACACAATAAACTGGGCTCCTTAGCCGTGAATTTTCATTTAATTTGAATAGGGGAAGCTGCTCATCCTCATCTTTTACAGGGCTTTCCCCTCTTAGTCGACTAATCGGTGGTTTTGGTCTTGGATTTCTTTAATTGATTTCTCCTTTTTGTTGTGCTTTTTCATACTGAATGACTTTTTTCAAAGCACGTCTCTGCTAAACATAATATTAAAAGTGGTGCTTTTGTGTGAGTCTTTGCAGAGAAACTCGATAAAGATGATTAAATTAACAAATTGATTAGTTGATCAAATTGTTTCACAGGCAATTGTGTAAAAAAAAAAAGTGCCTTTTCAGGAGCCGTTTATGACGCTGTTCCTGTGTTTATTTGTGGCCCCAGCATTAATCGTGTTTGCCTCCTAGCTGCATTTAGCTCCCGCATGTTCACATACAGATAATCACTATTCCTCCCACAGCTACAATGTACTTGTTCTTCAGGCTCTAGAGTTTTAACCTGATGTCCTGTCATCATTTATTTTTTTTTTCTCAGCCGAGATGGACCCTAAGGAGCGTCTGGCCCGCCAGAGAAAGCTCCTCCAGAAGAAGCTGGGTCTGGACATGGGCGCCGCCATTGGCATGGACACCGAGGAGCTGTTCAACGACGAGGACCTGGACGACAGCTGCCCACCCAGTGGGCTCACAGCCCACGGAAGCAAAGGCACAGCTGGATCCAGCTCCCGCAACCACGTGGTGGGTCTCATTGTAACCCGTTACCTTCGATTCAGCAGACCCACGAGTATGCAATTTGTGTCCCTTTGGGTTTGTGTCCCTTACTGCCAGCTGTAGTCTTGGATGGGCTATTAAGTTTAAGAAATGGGTGAGTATAATCAGAAAGGTGAGGCAGGAAATGGGCATCTGTTTTCACTGCTTCTGCCAGCAGGTGAATGTTGCCCTGTAGTGAGATACTCAGGCTGTACGCCATGGCCGGCTGTAGCTGGCTAAGTTGGAAGAAGATGAGGTAAAGGGTGTCAGTATTTCAGTGTGGTTATACAATATGATAATTCACTTTTTTATATTTCTCCTTGATCCACATGTAAGATGTCAAACATACCACTAATAATAATTGGCAGCTGCACTTGAACTGGCAGTATAGACTCGAGGACTTGGTACTTTATACAGTATGAAATAATGAATAGGACTTGTGCATGAACGGAGAGGGAGACTGCAGTTAGTCGGAGGTTAGATTTACTTACTAAAGTGATGCACCACTTGAAGATTTGTGGTGCTTTGAGCCACAGAATGAATTCATCAAATGAGTCGTTCAGTAATCTCGTCTACATTGTGGTGCGTCATGCGTGTTGAGTTCAACCTTAAAATGAATAAATCGCCTCCGCCGGTTTCCTCTTCAGCCCATTCAGGCCGCTGACTTGATTGACTCTGAGTTCCGGCCAGGCATGAGCAGTCGTCAGAAGAACAAGGCTAAGAGGATGGCCAAGCTAGTGGCCAAACAAAGATCCAGAGACGTGGAGCCAAATGAAAAGAGGTAACATGATGCATGCTGTGTACCTGAAACAATTCCGGTTTATCAAACACTGGCTCTTTAACAACATGATACATATTGAAGGGGCTTTTTTTCCTTCATATACAAACAAATGTGTATAAAGGATCAACTTGCCTAAGATTTTTATTTTGGACCCATCCAGTTTCAGACTTTTTTTTATTTATTTTTTTTTTATTATTATTATTATGTAAAGTTTGATTGCGTCTAATGATGACATGATTCTCTTTGATCTCTCCTCTCTTTAAGTAACGACAGCTTTGAGGGGGAACCTGAAGAGAAGCGAAGAAAAACCACCAATGTTGTCATTGACCAACCGGCAACTGAGAACAAAGTCTTGATAGACAACGTTCCAGACGACTCCAGTCCTTCAGAGGAGGTAAGGAATCCAAAACAATTCCACAACTCACTGATGTCGAGCCCTGATCCTGTAACTGATGTCTCGTTGCTTTGTCTTTTTAGATACAAGAGTGGCCTCTGGAGAGCTTCAGTGAAGAGCTCTGCAATGACCTCTTCAATCCGTCATGGGAGGTAAAAACAAAGCGCGTTTTTAAATTGTAGTTGTACACGAGATTGTGGGCTGAGTAATAGGTGACCAGTGCAAAATGCATGTAAACAAGTTCAAATTGGATCGTGTGGTTGTTTACAGATCCGTCATGGTGCAGGCACAGGTCTTAGAGAAATCCTCAAGTCCCATGGTGCTGTGGGCGGGAAGCTGGTGGGAAGCACTGCAGAGCAGGTACGTCTAACTTCATCCTCGGGTCTGTTTCAACTGGTCCATGAGAATTAAACGTGACGCAAACTGTCCGATGCTCTGCTGTAGATGTTGCGGCAGCATCAGGAGTGGATAGAGGACCTGGTCATCCGGCTGCTCTGCGTCTTCGCTCTGGATCGCTTTGGAGACTTTGTATCTGATGAGGTTGGTCGTCTTTTGTTTTGTCAACTGAACAGAATGTCTGAGGATGCAAACAGTTACTGACACAAGATGAGACCTGCAGTGTAGGAAAGGAGAGGACGGGTAACAAATCACAATTCATATGCTAATTCTGACAAATTCACAGAAATGTCTGAACTGGAAGTTCTATTTTTTTTTTTTTTAGTGTCTGCTAAATCTACTAGTGGAAGGCAGTGGTTTTTGGCATTCACACTTGCATCGTAATTCTAACGGTTACGTGTGCCAACTGGTTTGATGCATGGTATTTATTGCCTACTGTAAAGAGGCGTTTGTGTAAAGTGTAATATCTTTACCTCATCACTCTGTCAACACTGTAAAACAGCAGTCGGTTTAAAAATGACGAAAAGGAAGAAAGGTGTTTTTTAAAAAGAGACTCGGGGAAACATTTCCTTGTGAAACAAGCAAACGTCTCCAGTATATAGCAATACAACAACACAACCTACAGCCTTGATAATGACCATAAAGGGGAGCTGAGTAGATTTAGGGACATTGCATTTAGGTGGTCGTGTTTATAAGTGTAAATATTTCTGCAGGAATTTGATCCTTTGCTCGGTGAAAAACCGTCTGGTATTTAGTCAATGTGTGCAAGCTCAACCTGAGAGGAGGAACTCATCACTAAATTGACCTCGTGTTGGGTTTCATTGGTGTGCAGTGTAACGAACATGTGCTTAAACGGTGTTCTATGTCCTACTGATGGTGGCTGACCGGCTCACTAGACCGACATCATCCAGATGTATCTGCAAACTGCGGAGTGTAATTAGTCAACCAGCTAAATTCATGCAATTGAATTTAGCTTTCTTTTTGTCTCTCCTGGACCTCCCTCTCTCCCTTTGCCAGGTGGTGGCCCCTGTCAGGGAGACGTGCGCTCAGACACTCGGCGTGGCCCTTCGCCACATGAACGAAACTGGCGTTTCCATGACGGTAGACGTCCTGCTGAAGCTCCTAAAAGAAGACCAGTGGGAGGTCCGTCATGGAGGCCTGCTCGGGATCAAGTACGCCCTGGCTGTCCGACAGGTACCTCTCGTTTTGTGTGTGTGACGAGCTGTTGAATAAGCGTAGCAGGGTTCTACAATGTATTCCATTTTGAGCGCCATATGGTTATGAATGTCAATTGTGGGGGTGGGAGCATATGTGTTTGGGCAAATGGTTTTCTATTATGGTCTAGAACCATACCTGCTCCTTGTAAGGCTATTCCTTCTGAACTCATACATCTATGTACTTTACTTTTGTGTCTCAGGACCTGATCTCCACCTTACTGCCCCGGGTGCTCCCTGCCATCACTGTAGGCCTACAGGACCTAGATGATGACGTCAGGGCCGTGGCAGCCGCAGCCCTCATCCCTGTGGTGGAAGGCTTGGTACAGCTACTGCCTAATAAGGTCAGGGAGGAAATAGTAGTGCCTTTTTAAAATAATATCAAAGTCTCCATCAAGTTTCAGCTTGTGTTTTAAAGTCTTGAAATTGATTTTTCACATGATCCTCATTTTTGGGGGGGGGGGGGGGGGGGGCTGTGGGGTTGTGTATATCTGCTG